TTCTGTGGCTTCATTCAGAAGGCCGAGTATGTGATTTTAGGGTCTTACCTTCAACAACCAGTCTTCTTTACTCCCTTGCCTTCTGATTTTTAACCCTATAGTAAATACATAAAAAGAGCTAATTTTTGTTTCCTGTTTAATTAACTAAGTTTTTTCCCCCTTGCATGGATGTTTGTACTTTTTTTTATTTTAACTACTTGAATAATCCCCAAACATCTGTAGATATCATGTCTTTTCATTTTGCTTGGAATTTGGTCAGTTCCTTTAATCGCCCTGAAAGGACGGCGCATCAGCTCTGGAAGGATGACTTCCGTTTACATATCTGGTTATCGCTTTGGTCTCAGCCACCCTCGCTTCTTCTGGAAGGCATACCAGTCATTGTGCTGAGTCTCCACTCTGTGTCTCTGTGTCCATCATATCCTCGCTCATCATCTTTTTTATAATCTGGCAATTTTGTTCTTCCGCATCCTGGGAGAGCTTCTTTAATGAAATCAATGTAGACAATTTCTTCCCTCATTTCCTTTTATTAGTATTTTTTTAATTGACGTATAGTCAGTTACAATGTGTCAGTTTCTGGTGTCCAGCATCATGGTTCATTTCAGCCATCCATATACATACATATATTCCTTTTCATATTCTTTTCCATTCCAGGTTACTACAAAGTATTGAATATAGTTCCCAAGCGAAAATAAACAAATGGGACCCTTGTTTCTTTTTGATCTCTGTCCAAGTGTCACCTCATGGGAAAGACTTCCTCTGGCCCTTCTACCTGAAATACATCCTGGCCCCACCTTCAGTCACCATCCTCACCTCCTATTTATTTAGTATCCCTAACCGGTTTTAATTGTCTTTGAGCCACTTACTCCTGCCTGATATATCTCTTTGCTTACTTTCTGCCTTAAAACGGTGGAGTATGATCTTTATAAAACTTGGTGCGTTTGGTTCAATGCTATGTCTTCAGGCTGCAGAACAGCCTTGGCATGTGTTAAGTTCTCAACATAAATGTGACCTAGGAGAGTGAAGGAGACTCCCACCTAACTGCCAGGCGACAGCTCTTATTCTCCTCGGACCATTTTGTGATGTAGACAAAATGATGCTCTCACAGGCTCCTCTGATCCTTTAATCTTGTCGCAAAACAAAACAAGCAAAAAAAGCAAACCCCACGTGGACATTATTCTTGGGATAACAGAATCCCAAGAAAGCACTTGCCCTTGTAACATGCACTGACTGACTTATCCGCCCAGTCACAGGAAGCAACATCTTCCCATCACCTGCTGAAATTTCCCTTGAACAATGCCTTTCTCCTTCCTACACAATAGCCTTTGAGAATCGTCTTGTGGGGCTGGTTTACCAGCAGACGCCACCCCTGTAGTGACTCCTGGACACCAGACAGCCTGCTAGACATGGTGGAAGCAGAGCAGTGAAAATGATGTTAATAATAATTGGCCAGTGACTTTTTCTAAACACCCTGAAGTTGGCAAGAACAGCAGCCATCAATATTCCTAATCCAGAGCCATGACAGTCCTGGGGGATAAACTACATGCTAAAAATTCAGAATAAGAAAGAAGTTTTATTCAATTTCGATTCTCCAACACCTAGCACAGTTGCCTGGCCCTTAGGAAGCAATAAAAACATTTGTTGACTGAATCTCTTTATTGTGTTTCTCAAGAAACTGTTTTTTTTTTTAAATTAAGTAACACTTAAGGCATACACCAGGCTTTATAGAAAGTTTAGTAACAAATCTGAATTTAATTCATAGCAATCTTCATTGAGTAAGTAACATCTATTGAATTTACTATCACCTAAGCACTATGCTAAATTCTTTTTTTTTTAGTTAATTATCACAGCAGTCCTATAATCTAAATATTATTATTGGAGAATTTCAGGGATATTTAAATAACCTAGCCAAGGTCACACAGCCCAGGTGGTATCACAGCCAGGATTCAAGGTCAAGTTTATCTACCTCCACACCAGTGCTCTTAACCGCTATGTACTAATAAAATATTTTAAATCTGCTCTCCTAAAAGAAAGATATCCTTTGATCCCTAAAAACCGTTTTTGGCAGAACAGCAAGTATACGGAAGATGTTAGTCTGTGTTAATGGTCATACATTATTAATCAATTACTTCTTACTGGATGACTTACTGTTTAATTCCTCTTAGATGACACAACAGTTGAATTTTTCATATGCACACATTGGAATACATTAGCTAAATAAAGCGATTCGCTCAGAGAGGTTCATATTGGCTCCAGGTGGCTAGTGGGAACATCGGTTATTTTATAGCATTTTTGCTTCAAAATCCTGGGGTCACTGAAATGTGGCATCGCAGCCCGCATAGTAGGATATTGATGAGAACAAGGATGCAGGCGGCCATTCAGGGGATGCGTAAATGGCAAAAAATACAGTGCAAGTTTCTCGCACCCTGCAGACTGCAGGTTTATATGGTAATAAATAATAGTTATCACCAGGACAAAGGCAAAAAAAGGCCATGAAATCCAGTCGCTCAGTGAGAAATCTGCTAATACAGGTGGTCAGGCTTGTTCCGTTTCATTGTCAAAGGGGGGCTATTTATTTGCTTCCGGGTAGTTAGATTACAGAGTCATTTACTGCCGAAAGTCTTCCAAGTAGGCAGATGAGGAGCTGCAGCTCTGGGATTCAGGTTCAAAATCTGTGAGGGCACGGGGAACAAGAGTCCCCTTCACATACAGCATCACTGATAAGGTAGAGATCTTTAAGCAACTCCAGAAATAAAGTAAGCGCCCCCTTAATGTGTACCTCGGTCACGGACAAGGGTCAAAACGCGGACTATGATTCATCAGTTTTTAGAAGCTCTTTAAAATACTTTCCCTTTGATGGCTTCCTGTCTGGGTGAGATGACTGTGATTGGGGGTGTGTGTGTGTGTGTGTGTGAGTGTGTATGTGCATGTGTATGTGTGTGTGTAAGAGAGGGCGAGAGAGACGGAGACAAGCAGGGATTCCTTGAGAACCAGAATGCTCAGAAAACAAGGGAAAATATCCACAATGGCTGCTCCGTAGTTGTAACATCAATGACTACTTTCTTTCCCTGTTGTGCAAGATGGTTTTTATCCAACAAGTAACACTATATATATATACATATATATAATATGTGTGTATATACACACACACACACATACACACACACACACATATATATACTGGGAATATTTGAAAGAGTGGAGGTTATACAGACTGAAGTCATTATTCCTAAACTGCCACAATCTAGCCGTTTCCAAAATTTCATACTTTATCGGCAGAGCAGATCAAAGATATTCCAAGAACAAGGTTTTTCCTTAAGCCTTTTTATAATCACTTTCTTATCAATAGGTACTGCCTTCCAGTCGAAATTCAAGGCTTGTATTTTGCATCAACCCAATGGCTATATTTTACCATGCGTTTGCTGGGTATAAGACGCCTCTACTTCAGCTGCCAAGTGACTTGACTCTTTTTGACAAGCAACCTTTAACCCAAGGCATGTATGTGACTCTCTTATTAACCAGAAGTATTAACTTCATCAATCTTAGTTCATGGCCAAATTCAAAACTTCCAGGCACAATCATGATGAGAAATACATTACACAGCTGAGAGATTTCAAGTTCCAATTTCTCCCACCTTGAAAAAACAATGAATGGGTCATAAAGGGCCATGTCCACCAAAGTAATCTATAGGGGAAGTGACCCAGAACAGAAGGTGAACAGGGGTGGGTGCTATCAGCTTGCTGGACAACAAATGAAGATGAAGGAAGCCAAATACCCCACCTCTAGTCATCCAGTGTTGACACTGGAAAATGTCATCAGAGGATTTTAGCAATGATAATAAAATCCAAATGACCCCAACTTGACAGCTTAAGTCAGTATCACTCAGCCCCTGGTGGGAATAGCAAAGAGTAAGGCTATACATGAATATGGTCTAAATGCATTAAATCAGGATGCCCAGGTCTATTGGCTTTTCCATCTAGCTTTTGAGACTTCAGAGATCAACAAATTCACTAATAAAAGTCAAAAAATCTAAGCTGCATGTGAGTAATTCCATAATGACCATTGTTTTAAAAAAACAAACATGTACCAAGCACTCATAGGTTATAACTAATTTTTTAAAAACCTTTTTCTTTGGCAATAGTCATGGACTTACAGCAAGGTAGTATAGAGAGACCCCATGTAGCCTCCACTGGGTTTCCCCAAAGGTTGTATCTTTCCTACATCATTTTAGGATTGTAAGGAACATACACCAGGAAGTTGACATTATACTTATAATATGTTTCAGTTCCACCTAATTTTATCATATGTATAGATTCTTGTAATTATCACTGCAATCAGGATACAAAACTATTATGTCATTTTATTTACGTTCTTCAATATAAAAATGCATTATAATTTCAGGTAGGAAGTCCCAGTCTACTTGTCTCACAAAACAACAAAAGCATATTGAAAATTCGTAATATCTAGGAAATTGGCATCTACGAGAACTCTATTTGTAAAGGCCAAAATGAAATTCCAGCAATACAGACAACTTTGATTAAAGCCACTTCCCTGCACAGATCCGGCCGCCTCATCATTTAGTGACTGGCTCTCTCTAGCATGAGCATGAGCGATTTTTCAGCACACAGTTTATCAAGGACATCTTGCTGAGAACTGAACTACTTCTAAACTGGTTACTGGTGAAAGCTCCACACACACACACACACACACACACACACATACACACACCCCTCTTGTCAGGGTAACACACAGCTTCACAGATGCCCTTAAATCGCTAATGGGTTTACCATAATAAAAGAGCGTATTAATAGATATACGCAACAAATCAATGAAATAAACCAGCCAGATCCTTCCAGGCCAAGTCTATTATGGGGTTTCCTATTTTCCCTAACAAGTAAATATAATCCAAATTGTCGTAAATGCCATCCTAACTCAGCTCATAGCAACGGAAAAGATACATGATCGCAGAAGAAACAAAATCAGGATCTCAACACCACTCTTACCTTGGCCATCTGGGCCTGCACGCCATTGGCCTTGAGCGACGCTACCGCCTTCTGTGCCGCAGCCGGACTGTCAAAGTCTACAAAGCCATAGCCTGCGAAAAGACAAAACCGCGGTCAGTCCTGCACGTCCGTCACGCCAGGGGAACATGTGTTTGCAGCTGGACTTGCATTTATGACCCTGGTGGAACCGCAGACCTTGATCTATGGCCCTTAACATGTCGGGAGAGATACCACAACATCACTAAGCATAAAAATAATAAGTCGCTTATTTTCCAGATTTCGCTTTGGAGATTGGCATGCAGTCAGCAAGCTGATTTAGACTAATTTTGACGAATAAGGTCATACATGATTTAACCATGTTATTCTTTGGAGGAGCACAAAGTGCTGAAAAATAGAGAAAAGTTTATCTCTAATTTTCTAAACCTCAAAAAAAAAAAAAGGAAAAAACAATTCTGTTGAGAAAAGCCAGGATGTAACGTGCATAAAGTGAATACCAGCAATCTCAACATTTGCTAATGCACCAAGGCAGCCAGGAAACACAGGTTGGCCAGATGACTGGATGGCGCTGGTGCCTGAGCCCAGGGAGGTTTGAATTGAATCTATTTCCAGTTGCTTCCCAAGCCCGTGCTAGTTCTTTATGGGCTCTCGTCTTGCTCAAAGGTAACATCTTAAATAAACTATTTTGGCTGTTAAGTCACCTGTGATAAAGAGTGATTCAACAGAGAAACATTCAAGCTTCTTTTAAAAATAAGAGAGACTCATGTCACATATTTGTTACTTAAGGACAATCCATAAAGGGCATAAGAGTTGCCTGGACTGTTCTCTGACTGTGTGCCTGTGTGTGTGTGTGTGTGTGGACAGAGTGGGGCCAAAGAAACAGCCAGTAAAATAGAACCAGTGAGGAGGAGATTCTGCACGCCCATAACAGAGCTGGTATTAGCCCCGGACTGAGCCTCACAGTGGTTTCAGCTGCCAAGGATATTTCAGAATTAAAATGCCCAAGGATGGGAGCGAGGGCAGCCCCCTCTGCATACCCTACCCCTCTCCCCAGTTCCCTGCCAGGGATTTGCTCTCTATTCTCAGATTTGTCTCATTTGGAAGTCGTGAGGTGATCTGCTAAGGGAAACCTACAGTTCCCCCAGCAAATGACCAAAGACTGAACGGGAATTCAGTGACCAAGTTATTTCCTTCAATTAACTTTAAAATTTTCTCCCCTCGAAACTCTTCTTCTTTGTCTCCATCCCAGCATGTTATCCTAACATGACCTTGTGACCCAGCAGTGTTCCAGAACACGCTCTTGAAAAGCTGGGCGAGGAAGCTGCGAAGCCTGCATTTCTAATCCAAGAGGAAGCTGCTTTGTAAGTACCGCTGATTCCTCTCTTCCCACGAAATTCAAACTAGGTGCGTAATATGAGTATTACCACCCACTAAGATGAGAAAGATGGGGAGATAAAGCAGGAAGAAAACGAGGAAAAAGAACAAAATAAGTCAAGAAGTAGGGTTACGGGGAACAGAAGATAAAACTACAATGTAAGATTTATCTCCTGTGTGTGGGTGACGTGTTGGCACCTGGTGAAATGGCGCTAACTTCACGTACTGTTGTCTTCACACCTGCCTGCGCATATACTTAAAGAAACAGGCTTCGGCCAGGTGACAGGACTGGTCCCCAAATCGCTAGCTGCTTAATCGGGAAAGCCAGGATTTGAAGCCAAGTCTGCAATGTACACTTTCTAAATATATCATACAATGAACGGCTTCATAACCTTTGTTTCACAAGCTGTTTCTACTATTGCTTCTGCCCTTGAAGCCCACTGGAGAGAGGACCCAATTCTTGAAAACTCCTTAGAACTTGAGGTTAGCATATGAAATAAAACAATCCCAGGAAAGCGTTCCACCCAGCTCGCTCTCTGTACTGTACTGACAATTACAGAGGGAGTGGCTAGGTTCTCAGCAGAACTGGCTGAGTGAGACTTGACAAGTCACCCTCTTCCATCTCACGCTTTGTTCCCTCTTCTTCATCCATTCACAGCCTCATTCTTTTATTCAGTAATGAAACTCTGTGCCAGGCGTTTTGCCAGGTACAGAGTCAGCAGTAGTGGGGGAAGAAAAACATAAAACAGCCCCAGTTCCCTCCCTTACGTACTTCATAGATGAGTTGGGAGATAGACGTGAAACAAACATACACATGAATCTACAATTGCAAATCGCTGTGCCTTCCTCGAGAGAAAACGAGAATGCATCATACAGAATCTGATGAGTGACTGATCATGGCTGAAAGTTTTAAGGAAGCAGTGGCATTAGATGACCTGCCTTCCTTCACATATTCCCCCGGCTGGCTTCTGCTGAAGATGGACATGGTGGTGCGGGAGGCAGGCAGCAAGGCTGAAATCAGGGAGACGCCCCGGGGGCCTTTACAGCATCAGGACAAATGGCAGCCGGCCAGGAAATGGACAAGACGAAATAGATGGTCTCAGTTATACTTTGGAGGCAGAATGAACGGGACCCAGTGATGGACTGACTGGGTTGGGAGTAGGGGAGATACAGAAAGTTTTCAGCAATAATGGGTGGGTGGAAGACGTGATTTGCTGAAATGGGGAGACTGGAGGAGGAACCAACAGGGTAGATGGAAAACGAAAGTATCCGTCTGAGACATGGTGAGCCAGAAATGCCTGTGAGACACCCTAACCCTAACCCTGCAATGTGCGTCTGTTAATCCCAAGCCCCTGTGCAGTTGGATGGATCAGGCTGAAGCTCAGAAAAGGGGGTACGACTGGACATACACACGAGGCGGCAAACGGCACAAGGATGTAATTCTCAGAGATGGAAATAGACAAAAGCACCTGGTGGAGGCAGAAGCCAAGAGCCCAAGTTTGGAGCTCGAACTTCACCATTTAGGTGTCAGGTAAGAAAATGAGATTGCAAAGGAGACGTAAGGAGAATCAGAGGGAAGGAAGGAAACAGAAGGGGAACAGATGTCTCCAAGCCCAGGTAAGGGCGTTCCAGGGAGGAGAGATGGACTGTGCGAAACGCCACTGAGCATGAAAGCAAGAGGACAGCTCGAGAGACCGAGTGTTTAAGAGCGTGAGCTTTTTAAAAAATTTAACTAGAGTTGATTTACAGGTGTTAGTTTCAGGTGTACAGCTTCAGATTCTTTTCCATGATAGGTTATTACAAGATATTGAAGACAGTCCCTGGTCTGTGCAGTAAATCCTGGTTGTTTATTTATTTTGTATGTAGTACTGCGGACTCCTCGTCAAGCCAGGCTACACGCCAGCGGTGGGAAGTGAGAGAAAGACAGGGAGGCACAGAGAGGGCGTTCACAGACCTCTGGACCATGATTTTGCTGGGAAGGAGAATTCAAAGCCGCTTTACCTCAAGGGGGATGTGAGGTCAAGGATGCTGTCTGTGTTTGTCTACTGTAAGATAAAACATGCTATGGTTTTCAACCTTCAAAAAAAGGAGCAAAAAAAAGCTAAGAGATGCCATGGTTTTCAATCTTAAAAAAGAGCTACAAAAAAAAAAAAAAAAACACCAATGGCCATTTCTCACCCCCGGGAAAACTAAATCCCTATCTTTGGGAATGTGACCAGCGTGGTCACACACACACCTACGTGCCTATTCCCCCACTGACCTCGTGTGAAGCCAGGGGATGGTACTGTTGAGAATTCATTCAAGATACTCAACAAAGATTTATTCTTTGCACCGTCTATGAGAAAGAGACTGTTCTTGGTGTTTTTGAATGTTGATCCGGAAGATGGAGCGGAAGTCAAGAGATTAGAGGGTAACGTTCCTGAGCAGGTAGACGGGGGAGAGAATCCACAACACGAATGAAGTTCTACCCTTTGCTAAAGAATGGCTCGGCCCTCGTGGCTCATGGTAACCGGAAGGAATTAAAAAAGAGCCTTCTGGGTTACCAGGTGTTATTTCTTTGCATAGCTTTCTTTCTGGGACCGGACCTGACATGCAGCCTGAGCTTAATAAATATTTGTCAAAAGTAATTGAAACCATGCTTAAAAGATGCTGAGTTCCTTCATGGGGGAGATTAACTAATAAAAATGTCTGCTAATAATACACACTGACTATGAAAAACAACATAAATGCCAAGCAGCCCCAGCTCTGGCACCATCATTCTGCCACCCAGCGAGGCCGCCCCGGATTTCAGGACTCCCAGCCTCTCTCACCCCCAGAGCACTTTCCTCTCCTTTCCCCACCTCACACATCACACAGGATATTACAAAATCACGCTGTTGTCCCCAGGGCCGAACTCCAATCCAAACAGAAGACATCTCTGCGAGGGCAGGAGACACCCTGAGCTTCTTCTGAATTGGGGAGATTACGGGTGACCTTTGAGAAGGGTGGATTTTAAAAGAATCGTCATGCCAGCAGGGAGGAAGCGGCCCCTTCCTGCCAAACGCCGCCTCCCGTGAAACAAAGTTGTAAATAAAGAATAAACGTTTCACCGAGTTTGCTGTTTTTCAGGCAAACTGACTTTGCTTAATTAAAATGAAATGCAAAATATCTCAAGCAAGCCTGAAAAACACGCCGATTCTGGAAACAGACATTGCATTCCTGAGCTTTAGGCGGCCGCACAGACTCCTCCACGATGGGAAGGAGACAAACTGCAAAGCACATCAGCGCCTAAAGAATGATGCCTTTCCTAAGGATTCAAGCGACTCCAGTATGGCTTCAATTTGCTTTCCTTAATGACAAATAATGAAGTCTGGGAACAGAAACCTCTTTATCCACATCTGGTGAGGAGCAGGCTGGGGAGATCACTTCTCTGATCACTGTGAAAATCCTGTGTGAAAAGCGGCGAGTGGTACCCACTGGAAACCCCAGCCCAAGTGGCTGGGAGGCCACGGGTCCCACTCCCTCAGTGACATCGGTGAGCGTGGCAGCGGGTTCAAGGGAATTAAACTGAAGGTCACTGTTGTCTCCAAACCCCCGTGTCCTGGTTTTCCTTTCCTTGTCAGAGGGATGCAGGGCAGCGAGGAAGACTCAACGCCGCACAAATTAGGTCACTCGTCACTCACTCACCCCATTGGCAGATCTAATCAATGCTTTCCTGAAATGCTTTAAATCTTGTGTGTTA